TTAAAGTACTTACAATAGATGTTGTGAGCCATTAACACAAGCTTCATTCGAGTTTGGGCTTTTTTTGATTGAAACCTTTTCCCTGATTTATTATTCCAGGAGTATGCGAAATCAGGACCTTTAATATATATATATATATATATATATATATATATATATATATATATATATATATATATATATATATATATATATATATATATATATATATAATTTAATTAAATGAAGAAAAACAACATTATAATAGTACTTAAAGTTTCGTGCCTTTCGGCAATCATCAGCTATTAATTACAAGTTAAAAATTAAAAATTAACGTTTAAAAAACGAATCAAAATTTTACGGTAGAACGAGTTCTGACGTAATTTGAAAAGACGCAATCATTTAATCTCCAGTATCAAACGAAGATAACAGGAATTTATTTAAATGTCGACATTTAGATAATATTTCGTCTTTTTTAATTAATTATTTATATATATATATATATATATATATATATATATATATATATATATATATATATATATATATATATATATATATATATATATCAGCGTGTAAAATAACGGCCGGTCAACGGTCAATGACCGCCCAAAATGAGTAAAATTGCTATTTTGACCTCCCAAATTAAATTCTTGCTGGTCATGTTTGACCGGTTAAAAAATAATCAGAGTTTTGAAAAACAAGATTTGAAAAATAATCAGACTATTATTTGGAAAAAGCATGTACTAAATTATTATATAATCACTAAAACTTTGAAAAAGTTTATCAGTTTATCAAACTTCCTTTAAGAAGTAAAATGAAAATCTGCGCGCTAAATTTTAAACTATTAACATCGGCGGGTAATTTTAATGTTAGTTGTTTGCAAGTTTAAAAAAGGAATACTAATTCGTTAATTATCAAATATTAAGTTATTTTTGTATATATAAAGTTCAGTCATGAAGAACTAATACAAAAATTAAAATGAAAACAAAGAAAATAATAAAAATGTTGACCGTCCAAAAAAAACAGTTGACTGTCAATACCAAGGGTTAGCTGGTCAAATTGACCGCTCGCCTTCGATTTCTTATTTTTCACACTGATATATACATATATATATATATATATATATACATATATATATATATATATATATATATATATATATATATATATATATATATATATATATATATATATATATATATATATATATACATATATATATATATATATATATATATATATATATATATATATATATATATATATATATATATATATATATATATATATATATATATATATATATATATATATATATATATTTATCAACCATGATCAGCAAGACTTTATTTTGGGAGGTCAAAATAGCAATTTTACTCATTTTGGGCGGTCATTGACCGTTGAACGGCCGTTATTTTACACGTTGGTATATATATATATATATATATATATATATATATATATATATATATATATATATATATATATATATATATATATATATATATATATATATATATATATATATATATATATATATATATATGTATAAATATATATTATTTTACACGCTGGTATATATATATATATATATGTATATGTATATATATATATATATATATATATATATATATATATATATATATATATATATATGTATATATATATATATATATATAAATATATATATATATATATATATATATATGTATATATATATATATATATATATATATATATGTATATATATATATATATATATATATATATATGTCAAGGTTGCTTGTCAAGGTTCGTGTTTGAACTGGAATTGAAGCTCGAAGAAATTTAGATTTATAAATTTTAGATGGCTATGTATCACGTTACATGGTTATTGAGGGAAAACATAACTTACCTGAAGCATTGTTTGGTCAGTTTAACCTTGACAAGCTGACGTTGCTTGTCAAGGTTCGTGTTTTGGAGTTGAGAGAGGGCTGTACCATGATGTACAAAAAAAAAAAAAGTAGCCTCCTCGACTTTAGTGGCATCCTCGGGCCTTGGGGAGGTTAATAATAAAAAAAAATAAAAATAAAAATATATATATATCGCACTCATAAAATAAGAATATGTTTTAATCAAGCGTATTATGTGTGCATGAGATAACGTCGGCGAGCGCAATCATGAAAATTGCTGAAAACAATGCTCATAAAAAGCTTTTCATTTTTTAAATCCTTTTTTAATTGTTACATCATTCTTTTGTCAACAAATGTTTGAATTAGTATCACGCTTAGGAGACTACTTCAACGAAGTAGATTTTTATACTTCCAAACTTCTTGCATATTGTTTGTGTCAGATCGCGATTTATTTTTTTAACTTTTTATGGTAAAAAAAAAATGATATCGAACAAAAACGCAATTTCTTATTGATTTAGTATTGAAGTATAATTTTAGTTTTTTGATTACGTTGTTTTAATATATGCATTTAAAAATGTTACGCTGTAAACTTAATCAATGTTAATGGTTTTTATATTTCTTGATGTTTTTTATTCAAATTAATTAATTTTTTTTTTTTTCCCCTAAAATTTCTTATTTAAATTCCTTTTTTTTATCTTAAAAAAATAACACAAGAATAATTTGAAAATCTACTTTTTTAAAAACTATTTGTTATAAGTTAAATAACAGATTTTCCCCTCAACTGTTGTCAACGGTGTTTCCTCTTCTACATTTTCGAAAATGAATGCAGCTAACTCGTCAGTCATGTCTTCATTAGCACTGTCTATTTCATCATCGTCATCAAGAACTTGATTTGTAATCAATGTTGTTGCTGTTGTCATATAGTCAACTGGATCATCATCAACTTGAACCACTCGTCTCTTATTTGAGTAAATTTCTTTTGCTCGCTTCTTAATCAGGATTATTTCTTCTTTTGACCAGCTTCCATGGTTTCCTAATATCATAATGCTATCATTTAGAGTGTCATGATTCATAGATAAACGTTAATCTGATAATATGCTAGTTACTGTGCTAAACATTCGCTCCACGCTTGAATTTGATCTGGAAATTGCTAAGATAATCAATATAACTTTTAATAAATTAGGAAATTTGACTTTTTGTACAAGAATGCCGACCTCCAAATTTCTTATATTGGCGATTGCGTACCATTGCTTCAAGTTTGGTTCTTGAATGAATCAAAAATAATTTCCATTCTTGAAAAACAAATTTTTCATTTAAATTGAAATGTTCCAATGGTGTTTTAAAATGCGTGGATAAAAACTTTATTTCTTCCAAGCCAAACTCTTTGTCGTCAGTCCAGTTCTGTGGGTCGATAAGCTGCATGGCGTGATAAATCTCAGACTCTTCCTTTGTGCTTGTAAATCTGTTGTTTAACGTATTTATAAGTCTGGGTATAAGCTTTCTCTTAATATTTCTGACTAAGCATAATGCTTGATCTACGCCAACCATAGTCATATCTAAGTTTACTATTATATTCTTTCTATTACTGGGATATTTTCGTTCGTCGTCAGCTTTATTAAACTGACCAAACAATGCTTCAGGTAAGTTATGTTTTTCCTCAATAACCATGTAACGTGATACATAGCCATCTAAAATTTCTAAATCTAAATTTCTTCGAGCTTCAATTCCAGTTCTAAATTTGTTCGGTTGATTGTAGCTAGAATATCATGCAGCAACAGTTTGTTTGCTTCAAACACTTTCGATGCTGGCACAATGAGCTCTAGCAAATCATGATAAACGGCAACAGGGCAAAGAAAATTATATGATTTGAATTTCTTTAGTAACCCTTGAACCTTTGCTCTTGTAGTTGAAGGGTTTTTCTTGAGTTTCGAAGAAGATAAAAACTTGTATTGTAAAATTCATCAACTTTCTTTAATTTAGAGATATCTGAAAAAACCTCTTTAACTGCCAGTTTGACTCTGTGGTTGACACAATGAACTGGAAGTAGCCATTCTCTATCTGCCTTTATTTGACACCATGATATTTTCCAAAGTTTACACTTGCACCATCAGATGTTATACTGACTAATTTATTTTTGTAATTATTGGAGTCTAGTTTAAATCTCCCAGTTTCAAAAAATGCTATTGATTCCCTTGACAATGTCAAGGGAATCAATAGCATTTTTGGTGGAGGAGTCTGCTTCTCCTCCACCAAACCTATCAATATCAACTAGATCCATATAAAAAGGAGAACCACGTCTTTCAATTCTTTCCAAAACTAACTCTTTTTCTTTCATTGTTTTTTGAGCTTGGCTAGCATCGCACAAAATTTAGAAGAATTGAGCTCCTTTCAGGATATTAGCACATTTTTCACCAACAGCCATCACAATACATTTTACAAATTCATGCCCACTAGCGACATTTTTGTTGCGTTTGATCATTTTAACACCATTGATCTTACAGCTCTTTACCTAAACATTTATCGTAAATGATGTATTATATTTTTTAACTTAAATTTAAATTTACAATAAATTAGTAAAATTTAGTAAGTTGGAAACATACGAACCACCAATTTTATTTGAACCAATAATTCAATACTATATCTAAAATATTTAAAATTGTCAACATATTGATACTTACAATAACAGCAAAGTTTTTGTGCGGCATAGTTAACAGAAGGGCCATTTCATAGGCACAGTTCACAAGTCTTATAAACGCGTCATCCGTTAAAACTTTTAACAAAGACAATATTGACGCTTGTATCTAAGAAACAAAAGAACATTACAATTACAAAAATACATTTCCTCAAACTTTTACTTTATGCAGTAAAAATCTTAATTGAATCATAGTTTAAACTTTTTCTATAATATATTTTATAAACATTGATTTCATTTAGTTTTTTTAAAGGAAAAAACATTCGATCTTTTTTAACTAATGTTAAGTAATCGTTTTTGACTTTTTTAATGTTACAGTTGAATGAATAATAAAAAAGAGTTAACAAACTTTAATTAATGCAACGTAAGTTTCGTAAGTTATAAATGCTAATTTCATCTGCGTCATTAAAAAAAGAATTTTGAAAAAAAAGAAT